TTTAAAAAATAATGTTCAATTGTTCTATTTTATTATTTCCAGAATTACCATATTCCATTTTTTGATAAACTTCATATTTTTAAGAAGACCTCTTTGTTATTATTTGTATACGAGTTTACTGTTACATACTTCAGCGTCAGCAAATCAAACGATTTTTGTTAGATTTCCATGCTACATAAGCAACGTAGCGAAACATAGTGTTTAAGAGATCATTTTCTTCACTGTTTGCATATAAGTTTGAAAGAAATTTAACACTGAGCAGCGGTAATGACATTGTTTAGCTGTCGTTTGCTATAAAAACTGCTCTAAAATAACTATTGATGTGCATAAAATAAACACTAAAACTTTCTAATACGATGATGGTTCACGAATGTACAGCAAAACCTTGAATTAACGGTCGCTGAACCAACGGACTCCGGATTTAACTGACAAAATCCACAGAAATGGTAGAGTCCGGCTGGAACACAAAACGCCCGCACGTAGCGTACAAAGGCTGTTAGTTCCAGAATTTGCCGCTGTTGTTTACTGGCGCAATCAACAGACAGAGACTGGTAGTTCCAAAGATAGCCACCGTTGTTTACTTCCATGGCTTTCAGTAATTACTACTGTGAGGCCCCACTATACGATCACAGCACTTTCACGACAGTATTAGACCATCACAGCAATGTTTAAAGGTAAGTTTCGTTAAACTTAAAAACTTTTCAAACTTTATTTAAAGGTATATAGTAACTTAAAAATAAAATACACATACATATTGATTGTATTTACATTTATTTACAATAATTTTGTACTCTACTGGATGTTTTTAGGCAACGAAAAAAATGTTTCAAATTAACGGACAAACGGCTTTAACGTACGACCCTCTTCCCTATTAGTCCGTTAAATTGAGGTTCCACTGTCGTTTCAATTTTTATGTGAGTCATGCAAATCGTTATGTAGACTTCATTGCATACTAATTAAATTGCGCGAGTGCTTCTTCGGGCGCTGTTATCTTATCAGAAATTGCAACAAGTTTTGGGGACGAGGGTAGGCATTAAATTAATGATTCTGTAAAAAGAAATATCTACTCAAGATTTAAGAAGTACACATGAGTACAATTTTTTTTTTACAGTTCACATATGATTATTATTATTATTTTGAATGTATCATGGCATTATTTTTTGTGTTGATGTCTCGAGTATCAGGGAAGATACTGCTTGTCAAGTCACAATAAGAACTTCAGACAGACAGCACTTTTCGAAATGTTTACTAATAAGGCAGATTTTTGTAGCGTTCACAAAATGTACCTTACGCTTAAATGGTCAGCATATTCTTCAAACTTTAATGAAATGGAGCAAAATGCTCGAAATCAATAACGGAATAACTTTAAGATTTTTCTCTGACATTTTCCACAATTTATGATGATTCCAGAAGAGACTCAGCGTCTCTGTCTGAAGGGCACCAGTCAATAGCAAAACCCGCTTAGGTTTTTTGTTTGTTTGTTTGTTTTTTTTTTGTTTGTTTGTTGTTTTTTTTTTTTTAGCAGCAGGCACAAAAGTGGCATTGGCGATAGAATGGAATGATTAGTTTACAGCGGTTGCCTGAGCCTGCGGTTGGATTTAAGTGAAATTAGTCACCTAAGAAATTCCAGCAAAAATTCCCTATAAACTGCGGTAGTCTGTACCGCCGGAGACGAGCGTCCTTTTTTTTTTTTTAATAAGGAATCCCAGAATCTATGTAATCGTCCTGATCTGTCGCATTGATCAGAGGCCTAATCAGTGAATAATATTGACTTTGGAATTTGATGGTTTTCCATCATCGCCTGTCAAGCGTAGCAGTATTTTACGTACTTCAATGCTGAAAGCGCATGTATAATAGTGTTCATTAATCCTCGATAGAGAAGAGTGACAATTTACGTCTTACCCAGGACGCGGATGTAGTTTATCGTCTTACCCAGGACACGGATGTAGTTTATCGTCTTACCCAGGACGAGATAATTAAGCCCGAAAGAAGGTAAATATTTCCTTTTTTAGTTGGGTAATATTTGTAATAAAATAAATAACATTTTAGTAAGTATTAGAGTCATTTTAATTTATTTACTACTTTATGAAAATAAGGAGAATATTTAAATTCTGTAAAGACTTCGACTTTGTGTATTAATAGTACTAAAACATGTATGGAAATGTATATGGCGACGTGTTAATCGAGGAAGATGAGCAATAGCTGAAAGATCAGATTTGAATGACTGCAGCTGTGAGTTTTTGTAGTCTAATTGGTAAAACAACTATCGTGTTAAGACGGGCTTCGTAAAGAAAATGGATATAAACTCGATTTTTAAAAAATTTCCGATCTATTTGTATATAAATGATGGGCTGAGAGTTTCGACAAAAAGCTACTTTAATATCTAAAACTAATATTTTCGAATTTCCTTGTAGTTGTGGCAAACAATATAAAGGGGAAACAAACCGCTTCCTAAAAGTAAGGCTAGAAGAACATCAAAAATTTATAGTTAGGGCGAGGCTATGAAATCGGGCATGGCTGATCATGTATGGAGGAAAAAGAGTAGCAGAATAAGAAAATGCTCTGCAGAATGAAATGAAAATACTTGAAGAATACTGGTGAGTTAGACGTCTGAAAGAATCAGCGCATATGCTAGGCAATGAGGAATTGCTTAGTAGGCCTAGCATAGAAATAAATATGATATGGGAGCTGCTAACAAAGAAAGACAAATGACAGCGAGTCTTCAGCAGCAGCTTTAGCAAAAAGAAAAATGCTTTAGTGAGTGTAGAAAAGTATGACAAGCAGCGGCAGCAACACTCATCAGCAGGCAGGTTAGGTTTAAGAGAATTGTTCTGAACAATAGCCTAGTAGATTAAAGGTCGGAGAATAAAACGACCGAAACCTTGTGATAACAGCAACAAAGGTCAGGAGAACAGTCCGAATGTAGATAGTGTGACTAAAAATACTAGTCGAAAAATTAGTAATAATTGTTTAATATTGTTGAATTCAAATTGCTTATTATTAATTTGACAAACATGGATAAACGTGCCCACAATAAGAAATAGTGTAAAAAGGACGGTTTTTCCCGTGACACCGCTTTTTTAACGACTTTCACTCTTCGGTAATATTTGTTTTAATAAGCGATGATTAGAATTGGAATAAAACTAAAACACATGATGAAAAGGAATCTATACATTTTGTTTTTGAACTTGAGAATTTATAACAAAAATATTAAACACTATTTATTAATTAGATTGTTTATTTACAATAATAATTCTATACTTAGAAGATTCTAAAAACTAATCGTCCAGGGTATGACTATAAACTACATCCAGCACCAAGGCCTCTGATCAAGATGTTTTGGAGGAGCGAGGAGCCACCTCTTAATTTCTGGTGTTCCTAGGTCAACCCTGACCCGGTGTGGTAGCACCTGTTAGGGTCCCAGCTATGAGCAAATAATTAACCCCCAAACAGGGGTCAGAATGTGTAAAAATAGATTTTAATACCAACAATACATTTGTGTAAAAAATTATTACCAGCCATACTTTTGGGGGAAAAATATTACCAGAAATAATTTTTGAAAAACATTACCAGCAATAAAAATCTTGTCGGCATTAAATAACCCATTGAGGTTGATATGCCGTAAAACAAAATAAACCAAACCAATCTAAACCAAAGAATACATATTCTATTCATAGGAATCTATCCTAAAAATGATATCGGCATTAAATAACCCATTGAGGTTGATATGCCCTAAAACAAAATAAACCAAACCAATCTAAACCAAAGAATACATATTCTATTCATATGAATCTATCCTAAAAATGATATCGGCATTAAATAACCCATTGAGGTTGATATACCCTAAAACAAAATAAACCAAACCAAACCAAATTAAAAACTAATGCAATTACAACTAATGCAATGCAATATTTGTCATATACTAATTTATAATGTAAGAAATGCGATAACAATTTTTTATTCATAAATTTAGAAACATTTACGAAATTATTAAAATATGTGAACCAACTATAAAGAACTACTTATTTTACTGTTTTATAAAGTTTGAATCGATTGACAATTCTTCTTTTCTTTCTGTGTGCCGTGTCCTTTCAGAACGTAGGCGATCATGGCTCTCCACCTCTTTCTATCACTTGCAGCTTTCAATAATTTCCTTCCCTCTGCCATCTCCTCCAGACCACGTCCTGTCATCCACTTGCTTAATGCCGCTAGGTATGTCATACGTTGTTTTCCCTTGTCTCTCTTTCCCTCTATTCGACCCGTGAGTATCAGATTCTCCAGGCCCTCCTTCCTCATTATGCGTCCCAGGAACTTCAGCTGCCTCTTTCTAATGTTAAGTATAAGCCTCCTCCTTGTTTGCATCTTCTCTAAGACCTCACCGTTGCTCGCACGATCAGTCCATGATATCCTTAGCATCTTTCTCCTCGAGTCTTTTCTTCATCTTTGAGGAAATCGTCCAACATTCGCTGCCGTAAAAATGGACAGATATCACGTAACAGTTTAGTATTCTTTTCTTTGTTACCTAAGAAATCCTCCTGTCTCGCAATACTCTACCCAGCTTTTGGAATGCGTCCTTCGCCATTCCAATACATCTACGGATTTCCGTACCGTATTTACCGTCCTCAGTCAGAAAGCTTCCCAGGTATTCAAACTTCCGCATCTACTTGATTCTTGTGTCCCCGACTTGCAAATCGTATTTCGGGCTATAGTGTAAATAAACAAGCTAATAAATAAATAGTGTTTATTATTTTTTTCTCAGGAACAAAGAAAATGTATAAAATTACTTTCAAACGTTTAGGTTTTATTCCAATTCTATTCATCGCTTTAAAAAAAAAAACAACCCAAAAACAATAAACATCGCTGAAGAGTGAAGGTTGTTAAAAAAAAAGCGGTGTCATGGGAAAAACCGTCCTTTTGACACTACGTCTTATTGAGGGCACGTTTATACATGTTTGACATTAATTCTATATTGTTTGATTTTTTTTTAACCAGCGAAAAGTTTATACTGACCTGTCAATCATCTGACTCAAATCATTTAAGAGTCCTTGAAAAATAGCTGTTGGCGCCTCGCTTCCTTCATAGAAGACATCAGGATTAAAGAAGATTGAACTCAAAGGGTACTCTATGTTGCCAATTGTAACGGTAGATCGAATTCCGGAATGGCTGTGAAAGACACCAGCGGCGGCGAAACCGTTACGAGTGTTGGGGTTGACGTTGCGTGAGTACTGGGCAGTTCCATTTTGGAGGGGCTTCAAACTGTAGAGTTCCATATAATCATCACCCAGAACCTTCGGTAGATATTCCCCATAAGTGATATGTTGTATCTCAGCAACAACTATTCGTCTCGCCTCCTGGAAAAGAATCTCATCGGTCCAGTTAGGGTGAGCGGCGCTTAGGGCGTCGGCGATACGATTGTGCTCGCGGAAAAATAGATTGTGAAGCGCCATCGTCATAGGTTCGGAATTTACGCGCCGGTCGCCTGTTTTTTAAAAAATAAATAAATATAAAGAAACAATTTATGCAAAGAATTAAATAGCAATGTTAATGTGATGAATGGTGAAATCACTTCGCTAACAAGACTTAATGAGACATTAACTTACTGTCAATTCCTTGAATAATAAGATCCTTATATTTGAGCTGTTGTTAGATGGAAGACACATACCGAGTACTTTCAACAATTTCAAACTGTCATCGTCAGGGATCATTTTTTTCTATACATAGGCTGGCACTAAGACGAAATATGTGTAGACCGAGGGATGTTATTTTTTTTTTAAATTATGCTATTTATTAACAGTTAAATATATGTTTTAGAGCGTGCGATGCCGCGACACTAGAGTTCTTGTTCAAATCGATCAATTAAGAATTTTGTTTGAAATTCGAAAAGTTATAAATCCACGAAATTGATAGTAAGTTAATGTCTCATTAAATCATGTTAGTGAAGTGATTTCACCATTAATCACATTAACATTGCTATTTTATTCTTTGTATAAATTGTTTCTTTTATGACATAAAATGCACACTCTAATTTATATATATATATATATATATATATATATATATATATATATATATATATATATATATATATATATATATATATATATATATATATATATATATATATATATATATAATTAACGTAGGAAGAGAATGATGGCGGGGCAGTTTGTTGTACATTTACTGTCAGGTGAAAACTGCTCTTGTTCGAGTCGCTTAAATACCATGATTTTGAATCCACATTTACTAAGCACACCAGTTTTCTATTTGAAAAATTAGTCTAGTATGGTCTTTCTAATATTAGTTCTTCTACTCAGCCTTACATACATAGTAACGTCAATACTGAGTTGTCCAAAAAGTTCGTTCGAGTCATTAACAAATTAATTTGCCACCACACCATTTTTAGAATGGTAGACACCAACGCTTTATATTCCTATAATTTATACACGGATTTAATTAATTCTGAAATTTTATTTTAATAAATTCTAATAATTAATACATCATTTTAGAGTGAGTATTATAATGGACGGCCGTTTGTATCCAACTATTTGTGTCAACTAGGGTGGCTAGCCAATCTCTATTGCAGGAACCTGCTCAGGTACATTTGTTTGTATTCAACACCTACAAAGCTACGCCTTTGGTTTATACTACAACCATGCAGAACAGACCTGAATAGAGCCAATACGTTCAAACCGTCGATCACGATGACATGCAATTTCGTGCTAGCCCAACCATCAACAGCTTGCAAATTGCTCCGTCTACCCAATTTCATTCACAAGAGTGAGTCTATGGTTTTTAGGCATTTTCCAAAGGTGCTGCACTCTGATATTGCTTCCTCGAAATCGATGACATTAAGTCACCTTCCTGACTAATCGACCCTGATGAGATTCGAACCCGGGTCTTATGGTCAGAAAGCGAACATTTTAACTACTGTGAGTGTTATTTGGTAAGGAGAAAAGAAAAAACAAATGTTTGTTAAAAAGTTTCTTAAAGTTAAAAATTACGTAATCGTCTAATTATTTATTTTCTTCTAAACTCTGTATTAGAATCAATAAACACCAATATGTCAATCTTTTAAAAACTGAATGCCGACATAACAGAAATAATAATGCAACCAAAAGCGATCTTTTTTAATGATTTTAATTAAAGCTAAACTCTCCTAATGCTATCCAACAATTAACATAGAACGAACTTTCTTGCGGACATAGTACAAAAGCGATATTCCGAAATGAATGTCTCCTATTGATTTCGATGGGATTTACAACGGATAGAAGACGCGCAATAACCCTGCTGGATCAAGCACATTCCAATCTATCAATAATTAAATAAATATTATTTTTCTACATATCACTACCTTTGGCTATGCATTTTGTGGCGTTTTTCATTTCGAGGGTTCGGAGCTGTGCAGTATTAGTTGGAACATGATTTGTCCCGCATTTCGCAGTCATGATCGCTGAAACGCATTACTCACTTCTTTACTGTGCTCACATACACTGTTTGGTCTTCGTGAACGTTCAGAAAGGGTCGATGAATGTCAACGGATATATTTTTTCTGATTCAGTGACACAACTTTGTTTCATGGCAGACATGTTACCAGACTCCTATTTGTAAATAGTGAAAAATAAATAGGTTGTTGTCGGGAAGGTTTAACCTCTATTGACATAAACACCAGCATCCATCTTTGACGTCGTAGGCCAAAGTAATAAAACAGAAAGCTTCATTTATTACTGTCGGGGCGACTTTTCTCTAAGGGGAAATATCCGACAAAGTAACAAAGAAATATGTGAAAGCTAGTTGGATGTTGAAGAATGTTAACTATTTACCGTATATACTTGCGTATCATGCGACTTAAGACCTAATTTTGAAGTTAATTTTTAGGAGGTCGCATAATACACGGGATATAAAATTAGCGGAAGACACGTGGGAAACATTTCATCGCAGTGAAGCCGAGTAAACGTCTGCAGAAAAAGATCAGTCAGCGAGAATTGTATTCTATACATTAGCGAATGTGTTTGCAAAACAAACTTTTTCACCATTAATGTCACCTGGCAATCCTCAATTTAGATCAGAGTTTTTTTTACGACTTGAGATACTTACCACTTAAGAAACATAGATTTCCATCGGTGGTGCAATACGTGGAATTGTCAGTCGGAAGTAAGTCAAATGATTCTGTTTCTTGAGTCTTCAGCCGACCTGAAAAGATGGCATTAAAATGAATGAATTTTGTGTTTAATAAGGAAATATATATGAAAAAATGTTATGATTATGGGTAAACGTGCTCAATATCCGTGATAGAGCGTGTTAAATATGAGAAGAGACACTGTCGTCAACATCGATTGGCGATAATCTGTTTTATGCTTGAACTTATTCTTCGGGCCATAAGACTGAATTTAATTTGACACAGAACCAAAAGTAGAACTTTCAGCGGAAATCAAACTAACTACAAAGCCAATAGTCTGTTAGACAAGCTTATTAACAGTCCATCTCCAGCAGACGCACTTAAACATTATAGTCATGCACCCAGATTAACTGGGTCATATACCCGGCTAGTCTGGGTACTAATAATGCATGGGTTTTGATGAAGATCATACTTTATCAAACCTTGCGGACTGGCGCTACAGAATCACAAAGAACAGTACCAAATAACAGAAACCACATCACTTTAAGACTTCCAACAGCAGCAACAACTAAAATGAATATCACATATAACTCGAAAAGAAAATAATCGCATAATCAAGATGTTGACTTTCCACACGACTACAAATAAAAGCTTAGGAAGGAAACCTCCATTAATACTGGAAAGAGTTATAACATTCACTGGACTTGAGAAGCCGATTTTCTGAAAAATAGTTTTAATAAAAATTTTTTATAGATTTCAATCGACAATAGTACTGGCTTCTCGGCCAGTGAATGCCAAATGTTTCCTTATAAGGAAATGGTTAATATTCCTATTACCATAGTAGCACAATAGCAAGGCTCATTGATTTTGTAGTCTTTCTATTAGAAATAGACTGCAAGATGATCAACCTATGACTCTAGGGCAGACGCACACAACAAATGAAGATTTGATTACCGCCAGACATTGTTCTCAGCTCGGCTTGGGTTTCAGCGTTAGATCCATAAATCTGTGAGGCGTCGATGTAGCTGGTGGCCAGGTTGAGTTGCTGACGAGAGCCTGAAAATGGTTCGCAAAAATAAAAAATAAATGAAAATTAAATAATATACGAAAATGGCACACAAAACAGATCGCTTTCGATCTTATATAATCTTAACAGTCTTAGTACAATTAATGTCAATATTTCGATGAAGGGATTTTTTTTCTTCAGATTGTTTTGCCTGCTTTTCTTTTAGCAGCATCAGTTTTTAAATATAATAAATGATTTTATTAACATTTTTAATCAAAGTTAAGTTCGTTACATTTACTTACGCGTAAAGTTATAAATGCATTTCTCCCCGCCCCCAATATGGGTTGAATAGCAGGACAGAGTGGGTCCTCATGATAAGGGTTTTTCGAAAACGGAGATTCCACTCTATATCTTCAAGATTCTAGACAAAAACAAACTTTTCTCTAAAAAGTCCACTACATAAATTTGTTTTAACAAGAATACTGTCACAATCAGCTACAAATGTACTGAAAACTTCATTAATAACATTAATAAGCGCAATAAAACAATCATGTATAATAAAAATCAGATCCCAGTGTAACTGTAAATATACGCCGAATTTCCCACTTGAAGGACATTGTCAGGCTTAAAGCATGGTGTACAAAGCCACTGTGAAATTCCAAATGATTAAGTATATATAGGTTCGACAGCGGGAAATTTCAAGCAAAGATATAAATTTTTTTCGTGTGTGGGAGTGTACTTAAAGGTACGATAATACTGGTACTAATTTCTCTAGAAGTGTACAGAGGAGAGACTTGAAATTGTCACATACAATCCGGCCGATTAACTATTGAATAGCTGGAAAGAAAATTTGTACTTGTACAAACAAATAAGAATATATATATATATATATATATATATATATATATATATATATATATCGGAAAAAAACATATTTTAAATCAATTAATTTATAATATTAATGCTCTGTAAATTTACATTGAGCACTATTTTGTAAAAAATAAAAAATATCTATAAGAACACCGGATTTTATATCTTACTGTTCTTTCTTTTTATTTATATACATACATACATATATATATATATATATATATATATATATATATATATATATATATATATATGATTTTTTTGTAGAATAATTGTTTTCCTGTATCATAATTCGTTGAACTTGTTAAAACACAATGAAGAATCTTTTAATTCAGATTATTTTTTTAAAATGTCACCGCCATCATAAAATAAGCGTTTGACATATTTTGATATTTCACCTCTATTACGTACTTGGTAAAATCGAATTTTAGGTTTGGGCGTGACTTTTTCAAGAACTTAAAAATTAATGCCTTTTTCATTGCTTTTGGACAACAGTTCATTAATTTATACCACAGAAACATAGGGTTGCAAAAACATCATAATTCTAATATATGAGAGAGAGAGAGAGAGAGAGAGAGAGAGAGAGGCCAACAGCCCTGAAGAGTAAAGGCATTACAGCAATGCGCTCACGGAACTTCGAAGTTGGCATGACCGAACCGAAATAACACACTATTTCGTTAAGTAATAAGTTTCTTAAGTAATAATTAACTATATATATATATATAAGGAAGAGATTATAGTAGTTCCAACGAGAGAAAAGTGTGTGTATGCTTTATTTTCCATAATTTTGAAAAATTATGGAACATAAAGCATAATATTTTTTTTAAATCCACTTTATAACCAAAAACGTTTGCAGTTTCTCTCTTCTTTTTAATCTATATATATATATATATATATATATATATATATATGCGTGCGGGTGTGCATTAAACTTACCGAGCCCGCAGTTGAGTAATGGAGCCGCCAATGAACGAACGTAAGGCATACATCTTTTTTCATATTGCGAGAAGTAAGCATCGTCTTCAGGAATCTCAATTGGGTAACAAATGGCACTGGAGAAGAAAATTGAAAAGAAATCATATCAGAAATCAGCCATCGGTAAAGTAATTTTATTTGTGACTTTTTTTACATATAGCAACTGTTAGCAAGTAATAATACTAATAATGGTAACACATTCAAATAGCGTCGCATGACACTACAGTGTTATTGGGCTGCACACCCGTATAACATGTCTGTCTAATAAACCACTTCAGTTTTGTAAGCCGGTGATGTTCTTTATTTTGTGCAGCGATCAGTCAATAGGGTCAAAATCGAAATTTCAGAGAGCAATAAAGAATTATTTACACTATTTATATTCGGATGATTGTCATTATGAGATTATAAACATAAAGCAAGGTGGAAAATGTTTTTGTCATTATCGTAGACGGTAAATAACATGAAAAAAATGGCCAGCTTTCGTATCTCATTCTTCAGAGGTTGATCGAAAAATGTGCACAGCGAAAATAGCGAAAATATTAATGAAAATATAATATACACCCGCATGGAGTAATGGATAGCGGCATGGATTGAGGAATCGGAGAGCCGAGTTCGAATTCCAGTCGGATCCATTACATTCACTTGCGTGCTAGGTATGAATCCCCCTCTTCTCCCTCCAGCTATGGATAAATAGCAGATTCTATTAGCCTTGGATGGCAACTGGACTAGGAGAAGGACAACTCTGAATTCAAAATTTGCGGAAGGTCGTTTGGGCACCTTGTGGCATGTAGTGCACCAGTTCTCTGTATTCGGCCCTTCAAAAAGTGTGGTCGGTTCTTCACAAAACTTTCACCACTATAATCAAATCTCATGGGTTGGTGTCGGTCTGTCGGTTCCTAGGAACTGATCTGCTTGAACCTCATACGTCGACGGGAGAGTGATATATATATATATATATATATATATATATATATATATATATATATACAAACATGTTTCATTGATTAATATATTGTCTACTTATTTTTATACTGATACTTCCAGTTATCTAATCAGTATATTGATATTAAGAATACATTCATCAAGAAAAACACTGTAGTTATTTTTTTTAACCCAACTACTTTCGATCTTTTCCAAAATCATCTTCAGGTGTAAATTACAAAGACAAACTTATTGCAACTACGATAAAATTTGCATTCCATTGTGATGGTGATTTTTAAAAACACGATCACGAGCAAATTACATTCATACCTAAAATTCACTACTTCCGTTTACAGACTTAATATATAATGTCTCCAACATTTTCAAATGAAAGTCCGAATTTGTTTTTATGGTAGGTCATAGTACACTGGGTACTATCCGATAGGTGTCCAGCTATCGCAGACCCTGGTGTATATAGGCACTTAGCTCACTTATTGAATTGTCCCGTAAAAATACTAGCCGGTATTTGTTGACTTATTCTCATTTTCAACATCTGATTAGTTTTACCTGTATAGTCAGCATCACATTAAAAATGTCTGAAAATGGCTATAATAACTATTTGTACATGCAAGGAAACGACGTGAATTCTTATTTGTCCGCTTTCGCATTTTCTGCTTTTTATACAAATGACAAATCGACAACTTTGTATATTGGGCTTCCAATATTTACCTGGGAGACAGAAGTTATTTTATTTTATTTTAGCCTGGTTTGTTGTTTGCTGAATTATTAATGTGGGAATGTCGGTGAACCTTTCAATTAATCCCGAATGAATGTTTTGATCGAATAAACACACGTGTAAATCACTCACAGAAAGAAGTCATACTAAATAAACATTTCAAAACTTTACTTACGTGTCTTCAGCTGTACAACAGTCAAGGCTTTCCTGAGCATCATCTGTTGAAAAGACAGAAAGTAAGACAATATTTTACACTAGCTGTGTATAGGATGTGGTTTCGATCCCGGCGAAATGTCCTATCATGATGACTCTTTGCCCGATCCAGTCAGCTTAGTAAATACTATTTACATTATTCAGACTATTGTCCTCATCTGTGTCGCCATATTTATTACAACGTATCGTAATCAATATTGTGACAAAGATGAGCACAATAGTCCGAATAATGTAAATAGTGTACATAATACCTCATCTCGGAAATATAGACAGATACTGGCTTAGTGGATGTTTAAAAACACCTTCAGTAGAACAAATCTAAAAAAATCTCACTGATACCAGACAAAGCATTGCATGGGGGAGGCAATCAATACTTTTATAATTCTCTTGACGGCGCCAAGATGCTATGCACATCAAAATAGATCATTATCATCATGATGCCATCTTAGGAAAAGAATAAGACGAAGTAGCCAGCAATTTCGGTCTAGGATAGCGAAATGAGGGCAGCCAAAGATGGCTCCCTAGTGGTACACAGCGAAAGATCAAATAATTGCCAACACCTTGTTCCAAGAGTAGCAGAAAGATACTGAATTCCATGGACGGAACGATTATGTAACAAGAAAATCTTAAAGAAAATGGCAACAAAAAGAACATTTATATTCGAAATCAGGAAAAGATAGCTGAAATTCTTTGAACACGTAACGAGGAAAGAATGCTTGGAAAACTTAACACTCATGGGACATACAGAGGGCAGAGAATCGCGTACCTGACAAGGTTGTGTGAATGGATGGTAGAACGAGGGGAGGGTCTTATCAAAGGGGAAAACTGCTAAGTGTTACACGAAATAAAAAAAAGTTGTGGAGAGTCTTGTCCTGAAGGGACGCGGCATATAGAAGAATATCTAGAGAAATAGATAGGTTATCCTTCATTGCTAGTATGACTCGCAGTTTCATGCACAGGTACTGAATAGGATTGACCATTATGTACTTTGAATTTTTAAAAATATATCTGGTTATCGCAATATTGGTGCTAGGATTACCGTTTTAATTTGAAAGAAATTATTTGACAATTAAAATAAACGGGATTTGTATATGTATGCAAAAAATGAAAACGTTTATTTTGAGTTATGGCTATGCCTTTTTTAATTAAAGGGAGATTACTTATTCTTATTTAAAAAACAAAAAGTAATTTATATTATAAATAAATATTAATTTACATAAAAAATAAACCGTAATTTACATTAAAAATTAATCTGTATAAACATATTTATGCGAATATTTAGTTTTATGTCAACATGTAAACATCAATTTATTTCCCTTGTTTAATAAGGTCGGATTATTTAAGTGTTTTAAGATAACCAATTTTTCAACAAGACATAAGTTACATTTATTTCCTTTTCCGTTATAAGATTTGGCTCTTGCTATAATATCCCAGTTAATAAGAAGGGAACTACCAGGATTTTTTAGTTGTCAGAAATATTTAGAGAGAACAGTGCTGTTTCTGTATTTTATATTACCTAAAATCATTCGATGATGATGATAGATCGATAAAGACTGAGACAGAGACGAAACGTTTGAGCTCCATGGTTCCTAATCTTGTAGGTGTATTGTAGTAATTGTAAAAAAAAAAATGCAGTTTTATGGGATTTAACATTGCACTTGCCCGAACAAAATATGGTACAAAGCTAAATTTAAAGTGGGCATCTTATGCGTACATATGAACAGACGCCGAAAATGGTGAATTTCTCTTGACATTTCCACTTTGGGAACGCCTTATGTGCCAGGGATTTAACTTAGCTTTCCTCAATGACAGAGATATTGCCTGGGAGAATGGCGCCCTTGGATTGAAGTTAATAATAACTGTATGAAAAATACAGTTTGACAATTTTTAGCTACCGTCATATATCGTGGCAAACCTAACGGTTCTTACTTAACAGAGTTGACAATTTTGCATATTCAACTTTAAAAACATCATATTTAAAAAATATATAATTATTTTGACATTCGTTTGTAAACTAGTCTTTAGTCATTTTTATAAATAAACAGTTGTTTTGTTTATGGCTTTTATAACGAAATTCTTTAGTCATTCAAATAAATCTGTCCTGAAAGTGGTACCCCTAACCCCAAGCATTTGTATAACAGCTTCAGAGTAAAGGGGGATAAGCAATGTATAAAGGGAAATAAGAAATACTGACATTTATAATAATTTCACCCCAAGCAAAGAAATAAAGCCACTAAAACGCAAGGGGTTACTGCGTGTTAGAGAATATGAGATAAATATACTATAAAAGATAGCGGGCAATAAAAGAATAGGAATTAAGAAGACAGAAGATAAGGATTGGTATTGCACTTAAATTTTTAGAGATCAAAGTTGAATGGGCAGCAAGAAGCCGAAAGAGAGATCCTCAAGCGAGAAGTGCGATAGAAAAAAAAAACTATTAACATAGACTTAACGGTTACATCTAGCCATTTCAATTGTAAAATGATGAGACCTTGCCGCCAATCTAGTACTGCACTTAAATTCATAAGCGGAAAGTTCATCAGATAAATTATCATGAAATTATTTATAGAAAAGACACAAGGAAACTATTTTACGTTGGTAGGAAAGTGACTGAAGCCAAGATGACAGCTCAGGACCAATGACGTTTCAGATTTTTCTTTGTATTTTATCCAGAATCTCTAAATATATATAGCAGGAACACCAGACCAAATGTAGCAGAAATATTCAAAGCAAGGAGGAAAGGTAGACTTATAAATATGTAAGACTGATTCTGGAGACAAAAATTGTTTGGCACGACACAGTGAATAAACTTTCCCAGCTGTAGACTTAGCAACTGATTCAATATATTCTTTCTAATCTATGACAACGGAAATGTTAGTCCGAGAAGGGGCAATGAGTCACTTTCCTGGAGATTAGCACCAGCCATGCTGATGGAAGGTAAAAAGGGTTCTATTAGACAATTAAAAGAGCATAGTTTCGTTTTGGAGGCGTTAAAATTAACAAGCCACTCCTTGTCCCATTTAACAACAGATTGTAAATAATTTTTTGAGAACATCTGCCAATTTGATCTTACCGAACCGATCTACTAAGACAGGAGTAAATAGTTTTAATAGTTTAATTTGATAATCTAACAAATTTAAATTTTTACTTTTGAAACATTAATTTTTTGTAAAGCTTTTATGTACATTTTTTTTAAATATTACAATTTCGATAATAGCATTTTATGGCATTTGGATATCTCTCCAACAACGAAACAACTGCGTAAGACAGCGGGATAGGTAATAAAGTAGTGTTTGCTCAAGAACCATCGAATATCATTACATCATTACTAATATATATATATATATATATATATATATATATATATATATATATATATATATTATACAGTAAGGTTAACCCTGTACAGAGCGCGGGGCCACACGCGGTAGAGGGTTACGTTAGGAGGCAGTTTGTACAGATATGAGGGGAAGATAACCGTTAACCCTAGACTTGAACAGGTTAAGATTGTAGTGATCAGAGAAGCACCCTCTTGGGAGTCGGTTCCACAGAGCAGTGATTTACGGGAAGAAGATGCTGGTGTGGAACTTACTTCTCATCTATGGAATACTGGGGTGGGAATGTAGCTAGTTTGCTAATATATATGTGGCGTGGCGTCTCCTTGCTGTGAAGCTTAGAAGCTGCGGAATCCAAGGAATGCCGTTCGTCTGAACACTTTCCATGAAGTAGCGACAGAGCAGTGAGAGGCTTGAGACATCCCACATCTCTGTGAGAGAGTGGTTAGACGTTGTGAAATAATTTATCACCCACAAGGATTCGAGAGAGGATTTGGGACTTTATCAAGGCAGGAGAGTTTAGTCTGGGTAGCTCCCGCCCAAATATGACAACAGTACTCCATTTTTTGTCTTGATCTGGCTCTTGTAAAGGTAGACGATAGCAGGAGGAGTCTGGTACTTACTGAGTGGTACAGGGAGCCGACCATTTTACCTGAACTTTTAGCGATGGCTTGTATGTATGTTCCACTTGAGGTCAGGTTTGATTTTAGGGCTCAGTAATATATATATCTTACCAGTTTGTGACTGGAATGGATAATTTCGAAGGGGATATAAATCCAGGGAGAGCTCAATGTAGAATACAGAGCATTATAATGATAAGAAGAAGATTTAATTTATTAATGGATAATTAAATTTTCCGTCTTCTTCTTATCACTATATATATATATATATATATGGGGGGATGTGGTTGTGTATGCGATATATAACAGCAGTTAAATATATTGTTTAAATGCTGAAAGGTGATCCAGAATCAAATTGTAAATGAAGATAAAAGTCCATCGTCCGTTTACTTACTACTGTTTCGACATTCGCTCTGTTGGGCTCTTCAGGTAAAGAAGAAATCTAAAACTAAATCACTGATATCTCAGATCACAATAATCTATATATTTTGGATTCCACTCAATTTGCATAATCAAATATTTAAATACTTATCCTCCTCTTTCTTTCTGCAGGTATTCTTATTCAAAGAATGAAAATGTACCTAGTTTCTCTTCCTGGCATTCTACAAAACACCCCCACCCACTCTTTAGCCACAACTTTTTTTTTTATTAAGATCCATTTAATAATTGGATGGACACACATTTTTCTTGTGTTTCCCTTATATATTGAGACAGAACGTTATTGTTTTTGTGTGTTTCTAACTTGAAGGATTTGTGATTATAAAACTGGTGTTTAAATAGACGCTTCGTAGGACCGATATAGGTTTTGTCTGGTTGCTATCAAATCTTAACACTGCTTTATAGACAATGTTTTTGCGTGGTAATCACAATTGAGTGGGCAGTCTTATAACGTTTTACAATTGCTACTGCCTTGGTTATTGGCTGGTTTATTGTTCAAACCTTTTACGGAACAATAGTATAGGGAATATCTACCTTCTGTTGGGAATGTTGGGAAATTTGCCACATCTGTGCTGAGGAAAAGTCCAAATATAGGAGTCAAGTGAGTAAGCCCGTCATCGCGATCTTCCGGTGTACTGAGGCCATGTAATGTCGTACTGATGAGACGTGCGCCTGGCAGTGGGGTTCCACTAATTCCATTGACACGGGGAAGATCGATGCCTGGATAGGGAATAAAAGCAACAAATCGTTATTAAAACGTTAAAATCGTTAAGACGTTGTTACAAAATTTAAGTTGAAAGTTTCTTTTAGTAGAAATAAATTGTGGATTAATAATTTTTGAAAATTTTTAAATTAATCTTCTGCGATTTTCATTCTCTTAAATAATTTGCTTTGTTAACATTAATGAAGATTTTACAAACATGTAGATTGGTTCCTTTTTCATATTCTTTGGGAAGATGCGTCTCCTCATGTAGACTCTCGTATTTTCTTTTATGACTTAAAACTCAGTCTGGTTCTGTGGGTTATATTCTATTTCTATTCTGCGACGTGCTGTCAGGAGGACCCGACTGGCTCAGTCGCGTCCACCACCCACACTTCTCTGTGACTCCTGCTCACGACTCTTCAGGAGTAGGCTGTGTCTTCACAGCAATCTATGTCACCGCCACCAGAGGCGGAGAAAGGGAACAAGGAGAGAGGATGACGATCCCGATGTTCGGATGCGAGCTGGTGCTGACGACGACTATTATTAGGGAAACCACAAATAGCTTCATTTACATAATTATTAAAGAGAGAGAGAGAGAGAGAGAGAGAGAGAGAGAGAGTGTGAGTGTGTGTGTGTGTGTGTGTGACTACTCACCATCGCTATATTCAGCGGGGAGGTAACGGCCCAGGGGAGTGTTAGAACTTCCGAGTAATGGCGTACGCAGGTTATTACATGTCCCATCGGCCGTACGATAGGGGTAGTTTCGAGTGCATTCTGTGTTGGCAGCCAAAGTACAGTCTTGGATGATTTGACGTGGTCTTTGAATATTGTTGGTCACATTAACCGGGTCCACATTGGCTCCAGACACACTGAAATCATAAGAAGAATAACAGAATTTAAAGCCTAGATATACCTTAAAACCTAATATATGAAGAGTAACACCTACGTTTGGTCAATGAAATATGTTCAAAATAAAGAAGAAATGTTAATTTTTAGAACAATAACTGGTAATGAATAACGTTCAGTGTTATGGGGTCCACCCCTTTTTCATATAAGTGGACTCTACCAGTGTACCTGGACTGCTGCCGTTAAATACCCAGAGTGAGACAGTCAGTGAGGGTAGTCGGAAAGAGAGAGAGAATATATGAACGGAGATAGTGTCAGGTAGTCTCTTGTAGAAGTCAGTTAAAAGCACGTAGACTCTAAGGAAGTCCTACTTCGAGACTGTATATATCTATCTGTATTTGCTACTAACCGTGTTTCTGGATTTACTAACAGTATTACCCTTTGTATGATTGTGTAAATACATTTTATTTCTTATATTTAATTATTGCGTTTGTTCTTCATTGGAGACCGAATTCATCTCGGAATCCACAACATTCAGAATAAAGAATGTTGTGATTTTCGATTGAAGAACAAAATAGAGAAATCCTTTATCTGTTCAATGTCAAGTCAAAGATTGATAAGGGCCTCAGCTGTTTATTAGCATACATTTTAGCTTTACACATTGTTTTCTTTTATTCCGACTTCTGTTCACTTATCATTCCACAGACCAAAGAGAAATAAAAGTAACTTAAACAAAAGAGAAATTTTCAATTTTGAAAGTAGCAGTCATCGAAATATTGGGAATGGTTTGATAATACTTTATGTAAGAAATAAAAACAAACTTACTTTTATTATTTTGCTTTATAAAGTTTAAATCGAAAATTTGCATTTTTTAAAAAAATGTATGTAGAAACATTTTATAAAAAATTAAAATAAAAAATGATCTTGATGTATGTTTTAGTTTAACTTTGGTGCATGAGTTCATAAAATTTGAAATTTAATTAAGCAAATTTACGAATATAATAGATTTCACTTTTTTTTTTCAAATGATTATTTGTTTACTAATTCTAGGAATTACTGTCAATGAACGCGTTAAATGAATGAAAAGCCGCGCGCGTGTAGGCATGCAAGAAGAAAGTAACTATAAACAATTTTTTGTTGTTGCTATCCTCTGCCAACCGCAATGATGAAGAAAGCATTACCTCGCACCATCGCCAGTGAGACACCATGCAAGAGCCACGCCGTTTCGCGAGGCTCGTCCCCTAATTGAATTTCATTTATAAAGTTTGATTTAAAAAAAAGAATTCCGGTAAAAAAAATAAAAAAAAATAATAACGGCTTTTTCTTTTTTTACAAAAGACGCACATTTTCATTCTTTTCTTTCTTCACTTGAAACGCCAGCTTAGCGGAGAAAATACTAATGATTTTATCATTTAACGATAAACACAAATACACAGACACACACACACATTTCTTCCTTATAATTTTCATCTTATCAAGCCTAGTAAGAGTGAAACGCGTAATCTAGTTTCATTGCAACTGTTTTCTATCTCAAATACTATCTATCTATCTATCTATCTATCTATCTATCTAAATGTAAAGGAACGAATAGTAAAATTTCAACGTTCAAAACATTAATTTAAAACAGGGCTCAATACAAAAGTAGAGCCGAAAATATTTATTATGCAGTGTTACATTAAAACATGAACATGTGCACGTTCTAATGTAACACTGCATTAAAAACACAGAATGCTAAAATATCTATTAGGTAAGGTTATAAATTTATTTCGTGGATCCAATGCCCATCTCTTTAGATCAATTCAGTTTATTCAAATACAAGGAAAAGGAAAAAAGAAAAAAGAGAGAAAAGAGAAAAGTGGAGAAGAAAGACAAAAATTTCAATATAAGTTTTTTTTGTTTTTTTTTCGTGGAGAAGAGAAAGAGAGATAGACATATCTCTAACAACACATTCAAACCATTTCATAAAATAAATATATCCCGTTGCCTATCTCTCTTTCTCTCCCCCTAAAAAAACAACAACTTTATAATGAAATTCTTATCTTTCTTCCCCTTTTCTCTTTCTCTCATTTGACATTAAAACTTTCTCCCTTTTCTCTTTTCTCTCTTTCTTCTTTTTTTCTTTTTTCCTTTTCCTTGTGTCTGAATAAACTAAACTTCATTTATTAATGAAAAACTGGTCTTCAGAGATGGACATGAGGTCCACGAAATAAATTTAAATGTATAAAATTTGAATTTAAAATTAAAAACAGACAACCCTTAAGGTTGTCTGTTTTTTGTAATTTAACTAATATTCTGTGTTTTCTGGATTACATCCTCCTTGTGGTTATCCATACGGATTACCAAATATTTCATTATCTTACTAACTAACTAACTAACTATATATATATATATATATATATGTATGTATGTATATTATTATTATTATTATTATTATTATTATAAAGTAACTGATTTAAAATATGGTTTCTTCGCTACAGAGGATTTACAAGTTTCAAAAATCCGAAGCTAAAAACTTCAAATTTAATTATATAATTAAATTAAAAGCATTAGTTCTGTTTCATCTTCAAGCGAATTTTGGAATAACTTATTTTTAATATTACTGTGTTTTAAACGCACATAAATTTCATAATTTTTTTGTTTCCAAGGATACAGAGAAATCCAATCATTTAGTCAGGGGCGGTAGGGTGTTCATTTTTATTAACTATCATTGTATTAATTATGAGTTACATTGAGCACTGTTCTGTAAAAATAAAAAAAATATCAATAAGAACACCGGATTATATATCTTACTGTTCTTTCTTTTTTTTATATATATATATATATATATATATATATATATATATATATATATATATATATATCAAATTCTATCTATCTATCTATCTTTCTATCTATCTATGTTTCATGTAACGCAAAGTGAAACCAGCTTTGTCGAAACTTTATGTCTGTGTTTATTCCCTATGCATATTAATCAATGTTACTCACGCATTTCTAATTATTCTCGTTGTTTCTGCAAGTATCAGACCGTTTTCGGCGACAGCAAGATTATTAAAACTCAGAAGTTGCACGCTTTGTCCGTTCACGGGGGCATTTTTGTCGCCTACGACGATCTGGGTACCGTTCGGGAATGTCAATGTTCCGTTGGCAAAAATCACTGTATCATTTCCAATAACGATTGTCCTGTTTCCAGGGACGAAGGTGCCGTTCCAACGGGGGAAGAAGTCTTCCCATCCATCATCAAAGCCGCGTCGTCTGAAACCTCCTCTACGCCCATGACCTCTTCTTGCACCTCGCCACTGGCTACACCTTCCGCCTGTTAGCGAGAGAAATATTTCAGTACATGATTAACACTGGAAAAGACTTCAGATATGAAACGCATGCATTGTATGCCTTAAATATTTTTTCTCCAGTATAAATAAATAAAAAAATGTTTGTAATAAAAAAAATTAATTATTGATCATTTTTTAATTTCCTCCTAACATTTGGTAAATGGCTGTAAATTTGGAGAGACACACGATGGAGTAAGAAATTTTATTTAGGAAATTACCTAGTAATTCGCTTACAATTGCATTTCTGTGAATCTTAGCTAAATACGAAGTTAGCGTTTGGAAACGCTCTGAATTTGAAAGCGGAAGAAGCTCACAAATTCCATCGGAATCGGTGGCAATTTTCTGTATTAAAAAACTACATTAGAAGAAACATGGTGAAATAAGAATCGGCGTTTGAAAGTTATACCAACCACTTTCTCTGTCATTGGACATTCCAGCTCTTCTCACGAATCTTTTGGCGTCATAGTAGGCCCTTAGGTATTGTTCAGTTGTCACATGGTCTTCCGTTGAGATCAAACACAAAAGAACGGCAAGGACCACAAGGGTCATCAACATATGAATTGCTCGACTGAAAGAAATGGATAGATAGATAATATACTGAAATAGATAGTAGATACATAATGAACATAGATAGAAAGATAATGAAGAGGCCGAGATAGATAGATAGATAGATAGATAGATAGATAGATAGATAGATAATGAAGAGGCCGAAATAGATAGATAGATAGATAGATAATGAAGAGGCCGAAATAGATAGATAGATAGATAATGAAGAGGCCGAAATAGATAGATAGATATGAGTAGATAGATAGATAGATAGATAGATAGATAGATAGATAGATAGATAGATAGATAGATAGATAGATCTGGGAACAGCTAGCAGACGATCGCAGCGGCTGTCGCCATATTGTACAATGAGGAGTTACGGAACCTGGCAAAAGGCGTAACCAAATGTTAGAGACCAGAAGACAATGAAGGAAGCAAAGACAGCAATGTCAGACCTTCATTCCATATTCCAGCTTTGTCTGTTACACATGCAGAAGAGATTGGCATACATACATACATACATACATACATACATACATACATACATACATATATATATGTATATATACATATATATATATATGATACAGATACACCTAACAAAACACGTAGACCAGTAAATTACTGCAGTTCAAAGCATTTAAAAGCAAGCAGATTTTTTTTAAAGAGAATGCTCAACTTTAACAGTAGAACAACAATATTTAATTAAGGGGTTCTCAACTAGGGGTGAATTCCCCACCTAATAGGGGAATTCCTGGGTTTCAGTGGTGGTGGGGGGTAAGCTTTTTTTTCATAGGTTTTCCATTGACTGTAAAGTAAAGAATAAAATCAATTTAAATACTCTGAATTTTTTATTGATCTTTTTGTTTATTGAATTACGATATCCTGGCATTCTATTGAACTTTTTGTTTATTGAAATATGCTTCAGTTTATTTATCTAATAATTAATTATGAATTAAAACAAATTATTGTAAATGGATTCAAGTTTTAAAATCCATAAACATGTTCTATTGATATTAAGTTTGTAAAACACTTCTATAAAAATAATCATCTGAGAGAACTTACTTCTCATTAATGGAATATGAAGAAAATACAGATAAGTAAGTGTACGTTGCATAACTAGTTGTGAAGGCCTGAACTGGTAAAACCACGGAATGTAGTTCGCCAGAACTTCTGCCATGAAAATAGAGACGGAGTAGCAAGATGCCAGGTTACGTCTGTTGGAAAGGGGTTTTAGGGTGAAAAAAATTATCACCCACTAGGCAATGTAAACGTGGTGCTCTCCAGCAGATGATTCCAACAATAGTAACTAATTTTCCAGTGACACTGTTCACAAAATGCGCCCTTTTGCCGCCATAACTTGGGCAGGTAAGATAGAAGGTGGTTTGCTCAGTTATTTACTCTTACACAACACCGACAGTGATGCGATCTTCTCTTTTAAAGATATCTGGCGATAGAACAAAGCACAGGGTGCAGTAGATTCATGCCTTTTACTTCAAAATCAGTTTAACAGCCATCTCGCACCTTTTGAATAACATTGAAAAACACTGAATAAACCTTTACCACATTTAATTGAGCTTACATATATCTATATATATATCATCGGTTCCTTGACTGTTTCAATCGCCGAGAAAAAATACTTGTAACCAATGTGTCGTATTAATTTACTCTGAGTTAGAAGAATATTCAAACTTGTTTATGATGTTTACAAAAATTCAATTTAATACAGGGGACCCATAAAGTCACTTTACAGTTTTAATTTTTTCTTTTTAGAACGAGACGTGCCATTACAGAGTTTACAGTCTTATAATTCAATTGCTCATTATTACTCTGATATACAGGGTGTCCATAAAGTCTGTATAGTTGGCCACATTTTAGAACGAGTTTACAGTCATATCATTCAATTGCCCATTATTACTCTGATAAACAGGGTGTCCATAAAGTCTGTATAGTTGGCCACATTTTAGAACGAGTTTACAGTCATATCATTCAATTGCCCATTATTACTCTGATAAACAGGGCGTCCATAAAGTCTGTATAGTTGGCCACATTTTAGAACGAGTTTACAGTCATATCATTCAATTGCCCATTATTATTCTGATAAACAGGGCGTCCATAAAGTCTGTATAGTTGGCCACATTTTAGAACGAGTTTACAGTCATATCATTCAATTGCCCATTATTACTCTGATAAACAGGGTGTCCATAAAGTCTGTATAGCTGGCCACTCGTATTTGAGGATATCCATCTACTAGGGCGGCTAGCCAATCCTTAGACCTTAGTTAAAGTCTCTAGGAAAAAGCGTGTTATTGACAAGGCCAGCACGTTCAAGCCCTCAGCCACGATGACTTGTGACTTCGTGCTAGCACGGCTATCGACGGCCTCAAAGGGTTCCGTGTACCCAATTTCATTCATAAGGTTTGGGTCAACCTGTCAACACCTGTATTTGGGCACCATTACTTGCACGAAGCACAAAAAGATGGTACCTGATTTCTTGTTATGTTCGCTGTACCATAGTTTCATCAATGGTGGTAATGGCATCAGTGATCTTTTGCCTCAGATCAGTAATGTCCCATATCTTTAGTCGATACACGATATCTTTAACATAACCCCATAGAAAGAAGTCCAGGGGAGTGATATCTGGTGAATGAGGTGGCCATTTAAACCAGGTGGGAATTGGGCCATCCCTTCCTGAGGATTACATGACAGTAACATGACCGTTTTAACGTCCAAATGAAACTTTTGTCATATATATATATATATATATATATATATATATATATATATATATATCTTATGAAATGGACTAAGTCCGACAATTATTTTAAGTAAATGCTCTGTTTATAATAAAGAGTATTAACGACATTTACCGGTTTGAATGTCCGAGAAATTTTCATAGAAAATTTGCGTACTCCGACAGGAATCGAACCTGTATCCTATGAGGAACCATCGTATAGCCTGACGTGCTTTACCGATTTAGCCACAGAGGAGCGTTTCGGTTGGCAAGGTCAATTTTACTGTTTTTAAACTACATATTTTCTATGAAAATTTCTCGGACATTCAGGCAGGTAAATGTCGTTAATACTGTTTATTATAAACAGAGCATTTACCTAAATATTTGTATCTATAAAAAGAGAACGTATAAATATAAAAAATGCCTTATATATATATATATATATATATATATATATATATATATATATATATAGAAAATGAACAAGAGTAAGCCGATATAACTTACCACATGACTTGATTCCTTTGGTTCGGATGAGCTTCAGTGCAAGTGTTTCTGTCCAGTTCTGTTGCTGTATATATAGCCAACCGTAGTGATTAACCTGGGAAAAGGCATGACTTTTGAGAAGTTTTATGCGGTCATCGATTGGAGGTACTTCTTAACGGTTAATTACCACTTAACTAAAACACTTGGAAATGATTGACGTCAATATGACACTTACTTTCCATTTGGTCCGTCACACTTAATAAATTGTACAAATCATAAATAGCCACACACACACACACACACACACACACACACACACACACACACACACACACACATATATATATGTGTGTGTGTGTGTGTGTGTGTGTCTGTAAAACACTTAAAAATTGTTGCACGATTTTTAGCAGAATTCAATAGATTTTAAAGCTATAAAATTGCATTTTCAAATAACTTATTTTCAAAAGTAATAAAATGGGAAATATATATACTTAATTTCTAAGGTTAAAATATCATATTAGAGAAATCTGATAAATGTCTCCGAAGTTTACATATTCAATTGGAATATGCTTTTCAGAGATATTTAAGTAAAACAATTTAGTGATCTAGGGTGAATTTTAACAGAGGACAGAAAGTGAGACATCCAAATCCGAAAGCGCACTGGGATAGCAAAAGTTGCTTTTCAAAAGTTAAGCAAGGTATTAAGAAATAGGAAAAATTCGTTAGAATGGCAATGAAGACTGGACAATTCCTCACAGTTGAAGAAAAGACAGAAAGATGGTTTTATAGATGAATGCCGACGTTGAGAATGCCATTAGCTGGATATGTGAGTGGCAACAAAGTTTTAGGGAAAATGGAGCCAAAAAAGACACTTATACATAACAACAGGAAGTGACAGTTGAAATTTCTAAGACAGTTAATGAGGCAAGAGAGCTTGGAAAAATTGACACTCAAAGGACATATTAAAGGCAAACGGGGAAGAGGAAAACATCGAATAACCTACCTAACGAGCTTGTGTAAATGAATGGCAGATCAGGGTTTAGGAGAGACAGCAAAATATAAAATTTACTAAGAATTACAAAGGATAGGATAGTGTGGAGAGCCATGATCGCAAACCTCCTGAGGGAGCAAGGCACATAGAAGGAGACATCCTCATTTCAACATTTCTTTAGATCCATGCAAGATATCTAATTTCACTTAACTTTTAGAAGGATGAAAATAATTATAATAATCATTATAAAAATAATGATGATTATAATATTAATTATAATATAAATAAGAAGAATGATAATAATACTGAAAATATAGCTTAGGATAAGGGTAATAATACTAATAAATAATAATTAATAATATAATAATAATATATATATATATATATATATATATATATATATATATGTATATATAAATATAAAATTGTAGCCTCTGTCTGTCTGTTTGTTATCGAATACATTACCCAGGGTATTTGGATAAAAAAGAAGATGGAGGTCACTTCGGCAAGATCGTTGAGTAATAATGAAATGCATCATTTTTATTCGAAAATTATAACAATGATTTAAAATCAATCATTTTCTTACAAAAATTTTGTGAGACGCAGCAAGGCGCGGGTAATTCAGCTGATTAGATTATAACAGTGTTATTTTTATATTGTTTTAAAATAAATAATAATATTATATTATTATGAGTGTCATTACAGTAATAAGCATAATAAGTATTATAGAAATGAGAAATAATGACAATGATACTGAGTATAATAGTATTAAACATTATTAATATCAATTAAATTAAATTGGATAATCGAATTTAAAATAGACACCTCATTTTTATTTTTATTTTAGACAGTATGTATTACTTAAACTTGCCTCTCCATTTGCAGGCGAAACCACAGTTTAAACTGACGTGATTTACCACTTGGATACGATCGAATACGCAAGCCGATAGACGTAATACACACTGTTTAAAGCAAAATAGAAATGGGGCGTCTATTTCAAATACGATTATCCGCTATAATAACGTTTGAAGTTATGAAAATGTCGGATTAATTTAAACTCATTAATTCTTATATATTTATATATTTTTATTACTTTAAACATTATTTTTTTTAGATACCCATATTTAAATAGACGCTCCGTTTATCTTAAACAGCATTTTATTTCGTCTAACGACCTGAACATTGGAGAAATCTTATTAAGGAAAAATGCGCCCTCCGGTAGGATTCTAATTTGCGTCTCCCTTTGCAGGAGAAACTGTCGTTTGATTTGACGTGCTTTTGACTACTCAGCTACGAAAAGCTTCATAATCAAGCAACGTTTTATCGGCCTTTAAAGCGCACTTTACTTGTCCAGATTTATTGTTTAAAATAAACGTAGCGTCTACTCAAATATGGGTATCCACTAAAAATAACGTTAGAAGTAATAAAAATATGTCTGATTAATGAATAAAAATACATTAATTTGGGGGATAAATACATGTGTGTGTGAGAGAGAGTGCGTGCGACTGTGTGTAGAGAGAGATAGCGAAAGTAAGAGAGGAGTAGATGGTGTAGACATAGAAATCAACACTGCATAGTAACTATCAGTTTCACGCTTCAAGACCAAGGCGTGAAAATGACAGTCACTATAATGTGTTGATTCCTATGTCCACATTGCCTATATCTATACATGCTCTGTCTCCAATACTGAATACTCTTTCTTCCTGTAAATATGGCAAAATTTAAACAGTGTATATTCATGTACACTATTAACATTGTTCGGACTATTGTCCTCATCTTTGTCGCCATATTTATTACAACGTCTCGGTCGTTGTACGCTTCGGCCTTCTTCAGGTGGTTGGAATGTCGAACTGAACCCTTTATTTCGCTCACTGGGATAGACTGTTCTAGTTCCACGTGCTATGATTTAATGGATGTCACTTATCAGTTATCTCCTGTTCATTCCCCTTTTCAAGTTCTCCACTGCCTTAACCGGGTATTGAACTCACACACTTTGGGCCTTGTCACTGGAACTAACTTTATAATGATAATAATAACCTAACTTTATAATAATATAATAACCTTTATCCACTAAGCCATGTATCCTCAAGGACTTGGAGAGGGGAATTAACAGGTGATAACTGATAACTGACATCCATTAAAACATGGCACATAGAACTAGAACAGTCTACCCCAGTGAGCGAAATAAAGGGTTCTGTTCGACATTCCAACCACCTGAAGAAAGCCGGAACGTACAACGGCCGAAACGTTGTAATAAATATGGCGATAAATATGGCGATAAATATGGCGACAATAGTCCGAATAATGTAAATAGTGTACATAATACCTCATTTCCGAAATATAGACAGTATATTCATGCTTAGTAAAACCCGTAAATCATTAATTAAAACACTCTTTGTATTTTTACTTCCGTCTATGGACATGGATGAGTTCCGCCTCAACTAGACTTTTAGAAAAAATCATTTCAACGTGTAACTAAAATTCATAGAAAAAAAATTGAGGTCATATAAAAAGAAGAGAAAAAGATAATTACTGAAAAGAACTAAACAACATAATTGGACGTAAGAAATATTCCCAACAACGTCGATGAATTCCAAAGAAGACGAAAAAAGAACTTTTATTAATCATTTCATTCCAAGC